TATAGTCTTTGTATAAAATTTTGTATATAATTAATATTTATTCATATTATAAATAACTTAATAATATATGTAATCATTTCTCTTTTATATAGAGGGATTCATTCAAACTTATTACGATGGTCTTATTACTCGTATTTATGTCTTTCTCCTTCCCCAATTTTTCCCAAACTTGCAATATTTGAAAGGCTGTTTGTTCAACGAATTGGAGGTAACATTTTACCTGTATTTTTCTATTAGGAACATTTCCAATTCCAGGTCTCAGAGGTCACATTAGACGGCTTCCCTTGTGTATTTTGGTAGAGAATATTATATAAGATCTTTAAAGATAGTGTTCGATCACTTTTAAACGTGTTTGTTTCTCATTATTAAGCAATTATCTAATCATTTTTCTTCTTTTTGTTCAACCCATGCTCTAATTTCTTTAAAATCTTACAGTAATTTCGCAAACTAAGATCTCTCCACAGATAATTATAATTATTACAATTTTTCTCACTCTCTATCTCTTTCCTTTTATATATATATATATATATATATATATATATATATATATATATATATATATATATATATATATATAGATATAGATATAGATAGATAGATAGGATGATTGATTCATAGATAGATTCTTATTATGGGGTGTATGTATATATGCTTTTTAAGAACATATACCAAATGTCTTTTTAATGGACTTTCATGATCCTGGACAACCTTGAATTATTCACACACACACACACACACACACACACACACACACACATATATATATATATATATATATATATATATATATATATATATATATATATATATATATAAATAAAAGTGAACATAGAAGTCAACACTTAGAGGCGACAGTCTGTTTCATGCTATATGCATATTTACACACGCTCTATCTCTGATATTGAGCCCTTTATCCCATAAAACATAGCAACACATTAAGACTATATTTCTTCATATATATATGTATATATAGTTTTTTGTTATATGTATATATATAGTTTTTTGATATGTTATCTATATAGCTTAATTTGATCAAAAATTAGGTATATTATCTAATATATATATATATATATATATATATATATCTATATCTATCTATCTATCTATCTATCTCTCTATATATATATATATATATATATATATATATATATATATATATATATATATAGCATTTAAGGGTTTGTGAAATCCACTATTATTTTGTTTTTTACAATTAAATTAAAATTAAGTTTGTACAAACGTCTGAAAAGACATCAGGAGACCATTTTAACTATGAAATTAATAATAACTTAGAGATAAAACAAAAATCCTTCCAAAAACATTTTCCCGCTTCAGAGGATTCGAAACTATATTCCCTTTCTCATTTAAGTAAACAATGTTCATGCCTTGTTGTCCAAACTATATAGCAACGTCAGTTCACCACATCATAGCAACATCCAATTACCCTATTTAGATGTGTATATCTACTAAGTTTATTTTCGAGAAATGATTTTAAGTACTTAACTGACACCCTTTTCTTCTTTCTCATAATGTTTCTATCTCCTGCCATATGGCTCATTTTCTTTGATAATATCTACCAATTTCTTTAGATGAATGCTGATTTTCATTCGAACTATGCATACGTATATATATACATTTTATACTACTATTTATTTCTCGTAAGTATTTTTTCTATTATATATATATATATATATATATATATATATATATATATATATATATATATATGTGTGTGTGTGTGTGTGTGAAGAAATATAGTTTTAAGATGTACTGTATTTATGGGATAAAGTGCTCGATATCAGAGATAGAGAGTGTAAATATAAAAGTGAACATAGAAGTGACAGTCTGTTTCATGTTAGATGCAATCGTCAGGCCATGTGTGCTGTGAACAGCACTCTTGGCCTGACGTGTTGACATCTATGATCACTTATATATATATAATACATATATATACATAATTATTTATTTAAAAATATGATTCCAACTCGCGACATAAGAGGTCTCATGTTTCAAAACAAGAGCCGAAAACTTTAATATAATTATTTGAATTAAACTGAGTTAAAGTAAGCTCTGTTCCATCTTCAAGCGAAATTTTTTTTTGGAATAACGTATTTCTGAAATTTACGTGTTTTAATAATTGAAATCAAAATTTCCATGGTAACAGCTAGGGCGAATTTTTTAAATTGGGTAGGCGCGTGTTTAGTTGTCAAGTCAGGGAAAGGTGGGGTTGTCTAAATTTGAAACAGAAGATGTATTAACCCTAGTCTGGCATGCGCGTCTATGGAGATTTATTTATTTTTTTATTTTATTTTTTTATGAAAGGGATTTTTGCATATAAAAAAACTGCCGTAACGTTTGTGTTTTGAAGACTTCATAAAGGGTAATCTTTTTTGTAGGGTATCTAAACTATTTATTTGGGCTATGGATTATGAAAGTTATTATATTGTATGCTTGCTCTTAGCTAATTATTCAGCCCATGAATCTGATGATTGGGCTATGGATTAATCAAATTATTACATTGTATGCTTGTTTTTAGCTAATTATTCAAACCATAAATCTGATGATGTCGACAAAAAACCGTTAACTCATGTCTATTGTTTAATATATATATATATATATATATATATATATATATATATATATATATATATATACGCACATACGCACACACACACACATATATAGGCCCGTTGAACACTGGGTATGACGTTTGCCTGATAACGGAACTATCCTTGTTTCAATTCTCGGTAGTGGATGCGCACTATTGATGAGTACCAAATATGGGACGAAACGGCCGTCCAGTGTTTTCTGCATTCTGTTGAGGTTTCTTTTATACTCGATAATTATACTTAAGTATAATTATCGCAAATCCTCCTAATTTCTATCACACACACAAACACACACACACACATATACATATACAGACAGATAGATAGATAGATAGATAGATAGATAGATAGATGTTTCCGGATGTTTACACCCGCACAACCCATCTTTGTTTGCTCAACACCTACCAAGCCCACCTCTGTTTTATACTGCTACTATTCTGATCTAATCATATTTACTGCCTCGAAACTCAAGGCTAAGTATACCAAGATGTCATCTGCCTGAAAATTTGACGATATTGAGATTCGAACCCGGATTTCATGGTGGGAAAGCGAATGTTCCAGTTACTCGTTCACGCACAGTGTATGGCACATAATGAGGAAGGAGTTCGAATATTTGACCCTCACAGGATATGGTGAATTCAAAAGGAACAAAGGCCAACATGTCGTAACCTCCCTAACGAGCATGTGTAAATGGTTCGCAGATCAGGGGTTAGGTGAGATGCCAAAAACACAAATGTCAAAAATCCTCATTGGACAAGAAAGTTCAGTGAGCCACGATAACCTACGTCCTTAGGGGAAAAGGCACATTGAAGAAGAAGAAGAAGAAGAAGAAGAAGAAGAAGAAGAAGAAGAAGAAGAGGAGGAGGAGGAGGAAGAAGTGGAAGAAGAAGAAGAAGAAGAAGAAGAAGAAGAAGAGGAAGAAGTGGAAGAAGAAGAAGAAGAAAAGAAGAAAAAGAAGAAGGTCTCGAAGCCCTTGTGGGTGACGACCCATTCTCCATTCTTCAAACTCTCGCCTGCAGACGGGATGGGTCAAGGCCCTCACTGCTCAATGGCTACTTCCACGGAAGGTGCTCGGACGAACGACATTTCCTGGTCCCGCCAATGCAAACTTTCACAGCAAGAACACGCTATGCCACTTACATAGTAGCAAACCACCCATATTCCCTCCGTATTCCATTGGTGAGAAGTGCCACACGAACAACTTCTTCCTGTGGAACCGACTACCAACAGGATGTTTCCCCAACACTACAATCTTAATCAGTTCAAGGCTAGGGTTACTCGTTATCTCTCTCACCTATACACACAAATGGCCTCGTAATGGAATCTTTTATCTCGAGTGACTACCCACCCCCAACACACACCAACTAGCCCTGTAAAATATGAACCTCCTTGTCAAAAAGAAAAGAATGTACATGAACATATTATTTTACCTTTCAGATTAACAAGACATAAGGGATACTAAACTTTAATTAGAACTGAAGAGTTATCTCCTTTGAAATATCGATTATTTATATAGTTCAGTGCGACGCAGACCCCAGAGTTTATACACAAGTCAGACAAATTTTCTGCATTGTTTTTGTTAGCTTATTTTTAGGTGGACTATTATTCTACACCTGTAACAAGAATTTACCGTTCCGGATCCCTTGGATTAATTGTATAATAACGAATGTGTATCGAGAACACTTCATTTACTGCTCGAAAATTTATTTTTTCCTCGGTTAATTTTACGTAAAATGCTTTTGAGATATTCATAGAATTTTACTTGGAAAGGGTTTCCACACGTACGTGTGTATCCTTAAATACAATAATAAAGGGAAATGCTTCTGTTCATATCCGACAGAAATACATCCCACATAATGTTAAAATATTAGGTCGATAAAGACACCATTGCCACTATTGTCTTACCATTATGTGGGAAGGTTGTTTTCTGCAGAATATCATATAGACTGTCCATATTTCTGCAAAACACTATATAAACTGTCCAGATTCTATGTTTTTGTTTGAGTTCTTCAAAAGTCTTGGTCATTTTTTCGGAACAAAATTTACTCAATGTCGTAGACAATTTTTTTGTTAGCTATATCCTGGTCATTTTAGAACGTCGCAATAAAAATGCAGTAAAAATAAAAATAAAAAAAATATGTAACATATATTTTCGGTTGAATTTGATAAACCTTGTTTAAGTGACATATTTATGTAGAAATATACGTATGTATAGATATGGAGTTGCGAGTCTATAGAGTAGAAAGATACGCAGAGATAAAAGAATTGTTATTGTCAGTAAGTATAGATTCGCACATAACACCACGCCCATCCATATACAGGTGTTTCCCTAAAGTTATTTCTTTAGATTCTCTGAGATTTGTCAAAAGGACTTAAAGTCTGGTAAAGACAATGGCGATCGAAACCGCCATTAACGAGTCGAGAGAAGAGTTTGATAAAAGATATACCAGAGCAGGTGGGGGAACGAGCAATCAGTATTGATATGCATATATCTGTACATACAAGACCTGATTTACTTGTTTTCCTGCAACTCTGGTTGCCTGTCTTTCTGGTTTTCATTCTTTCTTTTATTCATTCTTTATTTATTTCCTTCCCTTCCCGTATTATCTATCTATCTATCTATCTATCTATCTATCTATCTGTCTGTCTGTCTGTCTGTCTCTCCATTATTCTTTCTTTTCTTTCTTTCTTTCTTTCTTTCTTTCTTTCTTAGCCGATCAATATCTATCTATCTATTATTCTTTTTTTTCTTTCATTCTTTCTTTCTTTTTTTCTTTCTTACTTTCTTCCTTTCATCCTCTCTCAGCCGGTCAATATCTACTATCTATCTGTCTGTCTTTTGGCCTTTATTATTTATTTATTTATTTATTTATTCTTTCTTCTTTCTTTTCTTTTCTTTTCTTTTTTTTTCTTTCTTTTCTTAGCCGGCCAGATTCATTCATCTATCTATCTATTCATTCATCTATCTATTCATCTATCTATCTATCTATCTGCCCATTATTCTTTCTTTCTTTCTTTCTTTCTTTCTTTTCTTTCTTTCTTTTCTTTCAGCTGGTCAATATCTATACCTTATCTATCTATCTATCTATCTATATCTATCTATCTATCTATTCATCTATTCTTTCCTTCTCTCTCTTCTTTTTTTCTTTCTTTTCTTTCTTTCTTTTTTCTTTAAAGCTGGTCAATATCTATTTATCTATCTATCTATCCATTCATCTATCTATCTATCTATCTGGTGTCTGTCTGTCTTGTCTGTACATTATTTTCTATCTCTCTCTCTCTCCGTCTCACTATCTTTCTTCTTTTCAACAACAACAACTTTCAACAACAACTTTTTCTTTCTCAAATGGTCAATATCTATCTATTCATCTATCTATCTATGAAATCCTTTTACCAAACTCCATCGAATTCGAATCTTGCAATTGTATCTCAATGACGAAACCAGACACTCCTACTTTTCCTAAAAAAAAAACACCTGATGACACACCCACACGCTTCTCTGTTCATATTAATTTTCCATCATCTTTCTGACTTCCAAATGTATTGTTTAACATTTAAACATTCATAAGGTTTGAAAACATCTCCACCTTTATATATGTCCGCATCTATTTCTCTCACTTTCTGTATATATATTTACAAATCTAGCAATTCAGCTGATTACCAATCTGTCTATACTTATCGATATATATATATATATATATATATATATATATATATATATATATATATGTATATATATATATATGTTAATATTAATATAAATTGTTCATATTAATTATATATATATATATATATATATATTTATATATATTTATATATATATGTATAAGTTTGATTCTCTGTGTGTGTTTTCAAAAATCAAATATAAATAAAATTATATATATATATATATATATATATATATATATATATATATATATATATATATATATATATATAACGTATATAAGTATAAATGTAAGTATAAAGTACACAACATGAATAGAAATAAAAGGAAAATGTATCAACGGGTTGTGTCCTCTCGTGGACATTATCAAGTCAAATGACTTGATTTTGCTATAGTATTTATAAGCATAAGTAAAAAATTATCGTTATATTTCACATGTTTAATGGAAGAACCGCCAAAATATTTTACTGGACAATGAGAGTCAAGGTAATCTATGAAGGATGCTAAATGATTTTTTTCTTCCTATTAATATATATATATATATATATATATATATATATATATATATTTGTGTGTATTTATATATATATATATATATATATATATATATATATATATATATATATATATATATATATATATAGATAGATAGATAGATAGATAGATAGATAGATAGATATATAAAATGTTCATCGTACACATTCACACACACACACATATATAGGGACAAATAGATAGAAAGATCTGTGGATTTTAATTTTTCAGATAAAAGTTATTGACATTGATATATAAAAATGTATGCAATCACCCACTGCTCATATCATCCTGTCTTTCTGTCACTCACTCTCTCCCTCTCTCTCTCTATATCTCTATATATATATATATATATATATATATATATATATATATATATATATATATATATATATATATATATATATATATATATATGTATGTAAATGTTTATATATCAAGAAAAATTTGTATGGAAATGTATAATAGGTCGATACTGAGTTCATTACACGGACATGCACACACGCATATATTATTAAATATGTATATATATTTTAAAATCGAATTTCTATATTTCTCTTTTTTTCCTATATAGGCTCATATACATAGCGTGAGATCTGGGCTGATATATCTATATAAACCAAGTTGATCTTAGTAATACAAATTACTAAAAGAGGTCAACAAGAAGAGGTCAAGCGGTCATTTTGTATTATTGATCAAATAATTAATAAACAATAAAATCCAAAATCACCTCATATGGGGGATAGCCTATTTCTGCCGACGAATATATCTGTCGTCTGTCTTATTAACCCCAATGTGGACTGACTTCGTGTCTATAGAGATGAGAGGGGCAGGGAGTAGAATTTAACAGTGAAAGCAAAATAAATAAATAAAATAAAAACGGTCAAAAAAGTAACACCTTTCAATCATATATATATATATATATATATATATATATATATATATATATATATATATAAAAATATATATATATATATATTGCTACCAATAATGATTATCAATATATAATAAATATAATAGATACATAGATAGATTCTGAATTTTAATTTTCCGATAATAAATGTTATTGTATTTATATGATATATGGAATAGTTTATTTCATGACGCATTGCTCATATCTTTCCCTCTTCCGGTACATATATATATATATATATATATATATATATATATATATATATATATATATATATATACGTATATGTGTCCGTGCAAGTACATCGATAGATATATCTACATTTCTACTACATTTATTATCATACCAAACGTCACACATCACTAGGCATATGCATATTTTTTCCATCCTTCTTTCCTTCCTTTGTCTGATATGTGTATGTATATATATATATATATATATATATATATATATATATATATATATATATATATATATATATATAATCATATTTAACTTTTTTCTCCTTGTAGGTATACTCATTGTTAACATTTTGAAACATACATATATATAAAAATTTTATTTAGACTGGCACAAGATTAAATTTGTGATGTCCCACTCAGTATAGAAGGTGTTGGGAGCTTTGTCTATATAATTAACATAATTCGAAATCCAAGATCTTTACCTGGATTTCAACACCAATTCCGAATACGGTTTCTGAAGACGCTAAACACTCTACCATATTCCTCTTCATAAATCCATTCCACAGTGTGGCGAAGAAATGTACTGAAAATGACTTTCATTACAAACACATATCATTACACCATTACATTGATATATATTTCAACGCTCTTCGTTGTATATGTTTGTCTCTCTTCTTCTCATTTATTATATATATATATATATATATATATATATATATATATAGTAGTAGTAGTAGTAGTAGTAGTATCCCTAACAACTAGACTAAGAAAGTCTTCCCGATATGTGGAATTGCTTACAAAGTGTCCGGACATGAGAGGTTACATTTAAATTAGATGAAAAGAATTGATATCACGTTTAACATTTACTGTCAATGTTTTATAATAAACAAAATATCCTAATGGTCAGTGAAATATAAAGGGAATGATTTTAAGGGAAAAGAAATAAATTATGTAATTTTAATGAAAATTCATTAAATTATGCAAAACAAATGATATAACGAGGATTTTTTTTATCGCTGTTGTATGATGATTCTTTCTCTTCTAATAATATTCTCAAGATTTTCCGCATTTCGATTTGATTTTGATTTTTTAAACTAAACTTTTTAACTCAGCGTGCGTTGTTGCAATCGTCATAGCTGAATGTTGTCTTTCTTTCCATAAAACTGACCACCTGTTCAAAAGCATTTTTTAAAAATTTCAGTCCAGATTTTCATCTCTGTCATGCATCACGTTACTATATAATATGCAGATATGTCTCGCTGTCACCCTTTCCTCTTATTCCTATCATCTTTTGCACCAATACAAGCCATTAGGGTGAAATAAGCATGCGCAATTATACAAAGTAAATTTTCTGAAAAACAGAAATTTCATATCAGTTAAATAGTTAAATATCACCGAAATAGTTCAAAATACAAAAGCAAATGCGGAATTCCGGATTTGCGAGATTCTGATATGAGGGAATCTGGATATGAGTGATTCTACTGTATATATATATATATATATATATATATATATATATATATATATATATATATATAGGGAAGAGGCTATAAGTAGTTCCAACGAGAGAAAAGTGTGTATATTAAAAAAAGAGAAACCGCAAACGTTTTTGGTTCTAATATGGATTTTAAAAAAATATTATGTTTTATTTTCCATAATTTTGCTACATGTGTTTCCGATCACGCGACCGTCATCAGGCAAAGGGTGGAGATTTCCACATATTATTAAAAATAATTATTTTTTTCTTTATGTTTTTCGATGTTAGACATTCTCTTTTTTTGTGTTAGTAATCCAAACGTCATTCTTGAACTGGCAGTGAAACGTTCTGCGTGAAGCTTTATAAAACAATTAAGATTGGTTCGAGAAATGATGGAGCAGTTATCGGCATGCTTATCTTTTAATGACCACTGTGTGTTCTTAGATCTATTTCCATTTTCGCGTGCTTTTGTCAGCATGTGTGTATATATGTGTATATCCCCTGTCCATATATACACACTGTCTCACTACGAACACATCTGTACACCCACAATCACATACACACACATACACAAACATACACATACAGTCCCATTACAAGGAATCAGTACATACACACACACACATACACGCATACGTACATACCCATACTTCCCAAGATACATGGAATCAATATACATACAGACACACATATATACACATATATATGTAGAATCGATATGCCTATTTTGCGTCAACAATTTGTCTGCAACGAAAAGACTGTCGTTTTTTCCAACAAGAAATTATTATATATATTTTCAATGTGTTTCAGCGAAACCAGTTTTTCAACTGTATTCATTCTATTTCAAAAAGTTTGATGGGGTCTTTGGTCACTATGTATTGCATGTTGTGTCATTTTGCGTGGTGCGATTGATTCCGTTTTCCTTTCTAACCGACATTTATTTATAAAGTTTTGAATTGTGTTTTAGGGGACGAATTTTCTTGCAAATGTTAGCATAATTTTAAAATTTTCTCTTTTGCTAAAGATGTGATACAAAAAGTTTTCTGTTATCTAGTAATTTTTATCTACAACATGGGAGACCCTTTTGTTCAGTTTTGAATAATACTTTCTACATATTTAAATTTTGTGTCCTTTCGAGGCATTTTTGGAAACCCAGTTTAATTTTTTCACTCATTTTGCTTTTCTCTTCAAGGTTTTCAAAAATTGTAGGAGTTTCCTTCTATAATATTTTATTGCATTTTGTATTGTCTGTTGGTTAAATTGGATGAGGTTAATATGTGTTGTAGGTTTTTAGATTGGCTTTTGCTTTTAATTATTTTGGTTGTTTTTAGTATATATTTCATTTTATTATCCAGCTAAGTAGGTCTAGATTTTTGTAATTTAGGTGAATATTTCTGGATTGTTTTTGTTGTATGTTCGAGACATATGCTAGAGTTTGTTCGACGTTACGTTTCTTTTTATTTCTAGTTGGTCTAGATGAATTTTTCAGAAAAGAGTTCAAAAGACTTTCTTTACCAAGTGCAAAAAGGTAGCCTGTTTTTTTAGAGTTTAATTTCGTTCTGCTATGCCGGGTTTTTTCGGAGGTGTTTATATAAGGGGATATACAGGCATGCTCAAAAAAGCACACGAAAATGGAAATAGATCTAAGAACACACAGGGGGTCATTAAAGGATACTCATGCCGATAACTACTCCATCATTTCTCGAACCAATCTTAATTGTTTTATAACTCCGTTTCGCTGAACTTTTCACTGCCAGT